ATATTTAAGCTAGTCTTTTCTTTTAACTGTTGTTAAAAGCCCCAGTCTGGCTCTAAAAATTTATTATGATTGAAAGTTGCTTGTTACATGAAAAACGGAGATTTTTTTTTTTGAAGTGGACGACAATAATTTTTTTGTGTAATGTTTATATTGAATGACACTTGATTTGCAATTTTCCACAACTAATAGCAAAAAATAAAAAAAAGGATGCATCAACTCACATTGAGACAGTTGGAATTTTTGTTGCAGAGTTTGTAAGTATATCTTCATAATAAATATATTTATTATCCATAATTAAAATTTTAGTTTTTTGTATTAATATAATAATAATCTTAATGTAGATGAACAATCTCATTGTGCTCAATCTAGATGACTATCATAACATTCATACAAAACGACGAGCTGACACAACTACAACATCTGATGTTCATCATTTTCAGACTATTTTGTTGAAAGAAACACCAGCTGTCCCATTTACAAATTTACTCATGGAAAAAATATTCATAATCCTAAGGGTATTGATGTTGATCTGGTTGTTGAAAATGCAAGTCATTCATTTTTCCCTTATCTATGATTAACATATAATGAGCATAAATTTGCATTTTCTGGAGAATTACCTGAAGCAAAGAATCACGAAGAGCATGTGGAGATGTTATTAGTACATAACTATGACAATAGGATACAACAGCATAGAGATGATAGAAGCATGAATAACACAAAACTTGTTAACTTGGTGGAGGGAAATTTACATTCCACTGAAGATTATATAAAAGCACTCCAAAATGTCTTCAATGTTCCAGAATTGAAATTATATCTTGAAAAAAATATACTTGTAGCACCAATGGACTACCCTGGACAGTTTTATGTGAGGCGTGCAATATCATCTTGTATAAATTCTGCAAGTACATCTGAGCTTTCAACATTACTACTTCACATAGTTCCAATGATTGGTCCTTTGCATGTCTCTTTAAATAGTCGTGAAACAGTTTTTTTATTGAATTATGCTTTTTTCAACAAATTAAATTGTGAAGTATATTTAAAGAAGAAGAAACTAGCCAAAAGACCAAAGCCATATAAAATCAATGTACTGCTTGAATTAGCTGCTTCTGTATGGAGTCTAATACGAAAAGAAGTACTTGCAAAGTTCTGTAATTGCAAAAATCCTGAGGTAAGGTATTTATTAGATCTTTTAGATCCAGTAATATTTCAAAGTGGATATCGGCCTGCATACAAAGAAGCAATGTTTCGTGTTTGGATGCTTTTTCACAGGTATGGTCGTAAAAATTACAATAAATTACCATTAGCATTTTTTAGTGATGTCTTCTATTGGTTCACTACACATCACCCTATGGCATCAATAATTGAACAAAATTTTCACTTGTTCAATGATTATTATGTGGAGAATTTTCATTCTTCATTACATCTTCAGACTAATAAATCAAATTCATCTGAGTAAATTATCACACAGGCTAAAATAATTGACCAAACATGTGGTAATGGTAACAATCAATTTAAAGAAGTTTTCTCAGAGTCCCACAATATAATATATACAGAAAAGGAATTAGAATTTATGAAAAAAAGAGCAGCAATATTTTTGTTGGAGCTTCTTATGAGAATGTTTAATAATCATGACAATGTAGTAAAAATTGATGCATCAGGTAAGTCAGGCAAGAACAAAAAACAAAAAAACAAAATTCAATATAAGCTTCCAACATTGGATACAATTGTGGATGTAAAACTACTTCCATTAGCATGGAGTACATCTTTTCATCCAAGAGCTGACAGATATTGTAATCGAGAAGCATGTGAATTGTCTCACAATATTGGTTGTAATTTAGCATGTGGACATTCTTACCATTATGAATGCTTTTTGTTAAATCTTTCAAGTCAATGTCAGCATTGTAATGAATATTTAGAAAAAGGTATTATTGATAATGGTAAAGCTTTTCAAAAAAGTTTAAATTCCTTTGATGATAATTTTTTATTGGAAAAAGAAGAGGAAGAAGATGACATTATGGATGAAGTAGATGATGATGAAAGTATTTCTTTGGATACTTCTGTAGATACAATTTTAGACAATCTTTTATCATCCTTTAAAGATTTAGGAGTTGTCAATAGCTAAACTAGAGTTTCTATCCATAATGGTAATACAAGTTCCTATTTGAAAGCCCGCTATGTTGTGAAAACCTACTTTGAACAAAGATGGATTTTAAAAATTTAAAATCAACAATAAATTATTGTTACCAATCACTTGCTACTTGGAAAGAGTATACAATATATCTTATTTAAGAAATGTGTTTGTTATTTCCAAAATTTTTAATTTGTAATATAAAGGAATTTGGCAAAAACCTACTTTGTACAAAGATGGGTTTTAAAGAACCAAAAAGACATATAAAATATAGTCATAATTTGCAATGACTTGAAAAACACCCTTATTGCATTATCACATAACACTCTATTTATTTTTATTCTCTTAACCTCTTAACATTTTTTAAATGGACAACACCATCTGCAAAATTGTTCCTTCTCTTTGTGGTGGAATCAAAATTAATGTTAATGGTTACCTTATGGTTAAAGACAAAAATCGTGATAATAAATTTTACTGGTGTTGTGAGAAATGTAGTGCCCTAAAATGCAATGGTTGAGCAACTACTATATTGGATAGGGAGCAACATTATCTTCAAGATACTTCTGAACATAACCATGCTCCAGAAGCTAGTCAATTTGGGACCATAAAGATCATTAATACAATAAAAGGAAAGGCTAGAGAGGCTGATGACCTACCCTCACAAATTATCCAAAGCACAATTTCTAATACTGCTAATTCTCAAGAAGTATATACATCCCTTACATCAAATGAAGCACTTTGTAAATCAATCAGACAAATCCGTAATACTGATTTCCCTTCAGAGCCAGAGTCTATAGAGGATATTACTATTCCCAAAAACATGAAGGTGACTTTAGATGGAATAAACTTTTTAGTTAAGGATTCTACAATAGGTGAAAATAGAATTCTGCTTTTTACAACTGTTACCAACATTCGTAATCTGGAACAATCTTGTCTTTGGATTATGGATGACACTTTCAAAACAGTTCCAACTCTATTTAGACAATTATACACTATCCATACATGTGTTGGGGGTGATGAAAATTCACAGATCATGCCTCTTGTTTATGCATTAATGTCTAGCAAGTCTTGAGAATGCAACGAAAGACTATTTCAAGATTTAATTGACTTCAGTAATGAGCAGGATATCCACCTACAACCACAATTCATTCTAACAGATTTTGAACAAGCTGCAATTAATGCTTCGTGTATAAAATTTCCAAGTGCTCAAAATAAGGGATGTCTTTTTCACTTAGCTCAAAGTGTCTATTGCAAAATACAAGCTACAGGTCTTGCTATTTGATATGGGACTGATGAAAATTTCAGTCTAGTGATTTGACAAATTCTGGCGCTTGCTTTTTTGAATCCTGCTGACATCCCTGCAGCATTTGATTGGCTAAAAGATGAGATTCCAACAGAAGCTGTTGGAGTTGTACAGTGGTTTGAAGATAATTATGTGCATGGCAGGGCAAGACGTGCACTTAGAAATGGAACTATTGTTCAAGATACACCAATGTTTCCACCACGCCTCTGGTCAGTTGCTAACAATGTTGAATATGCTCTTCCTCACACTACAAATTCTGTAGAAGCTTGGCATAGAAGATGGGAGGTATTAGTAGGTCATGACCATATAGGTCTTTTTAAAATAATAAAAGAGATGCAAAAGGAACAAAGTAAAGTCGAACTTGACATGGAAATGGTCTTGTGAGGAACACCACGACCTCCACAGAAACTACAAGATTGTAACTGCGAAATATGGATTCAAACAGTATTGAATGACTGCAACAACTGTAACAACCATAACATTAGATCAACTATGGAGTTTCTTCAGGGCATTGCCCATAATATTTCAAGAAATTATTGATAAGAACCAACTTTTTGAAGAATGGTGTTTAGTAAAATATATTCTCCA